GTTGAGCAAAAACCATCATAAAAAGTGTACTGCTTACTTAATTGAATCCATCACCGACATTTCAATTCATTCGTTTAGAAACAAAAAACAAAAAAAAAAAAAAAACAGAGGTCGTATGGATGTTTGATTTGGAAAGAAAGAGCAAAATCCATGGAAACGTCACCGCAGTCGCTCCCTCGGTTCATTCATCTTCTATTCTATGTCATGTCAATCACAACAGAAAGAAGCAAGCAGCAAGGCAAAGGAGTTTCCCTTATTCTTCTATGAAAAGAAACGTTGCAATCTACTCTCATAAAACAAACTTGGTACACCTGTGTCCGTTGGAGATCAGATCAGATAATGCGATCCAGATACATTTACCACCAGAGTGCGCCGTAGCAGATCAATAATAAAGCAAAAACCCCCCTCATCAGATCATCCTCGTACCACCACGGACACCAACACAACTAGCTTCTACTCACACACACACTTTCCCCCCAAACTAACCACAATTACTTGTAATAATACTACTACTTTTACTTATGCATCCAAACCCACCCCCCACCTCTCTCTCTCTCTCTCTCCCACCCTTTCTCTCTTCCCAACCCAAAAAAAAAAAGAGCATTTTTTTATAGTATAGGGGACATCTGCAACATTTATTTCCCCCGAAGTGAGTGCACTCTACCAATCGCGTTCCAACCAATCAGCTTCAGAATCACAACTCAGACAAAAATAAGAACATAATAGTTGCCTTCGCTAGTATAGACACCATCATCCCTTCAGCTTTATCCATCAATAATCTTCTCTGTTTGTCAAAAAACAGCACGACAATATTATAATATCAGAACAAACTGGAAAATGAGCTGATTTCGTGACAAAACCAAGGCTCTAAGGTGATGATTTTGGACCTGAAGAATCAGAAGGATGATGTGCCAACTGAAGAAAATCCAGCAGCTTTATGTTCCTTCAGGGTGCTTGCTAACCAATCCAACCCCTCATACAGCCCATCCCCTCTAAGAGCACAAGTCCCCTGTATATGCCACTTTCTGTTCTCAAGATCATACAGCCCCAGCCCTTCACAAACCTCCATCGGCGACATTGCTCCTTTCTGGTTAAAGTAACAAACCACAAGAATTCCAACAAAAAATCATTACCATTGTTGTTTATCCAATGAATTTACAGTCTCCAACAACTTTCGTAACTCCTAGCTTGTTGGTTTCTCCTAATAGGGATTAGAGGCATTAACGAGTAGGCTAGCCACGCAGGGGAACAATACATTGAGAAACAAGAAAATGCTCCTGGTAATAACCTCCAAATGAAATGGTGCATCACATAACTAAAAAGCTCCAAGTCCAATTATTAAGCCTTCTTTTTTTTTTTGGCCGCCCATGTAGGATAAAAGAATTTGTATGCATAGTGTGTACTAAATTTAACAATCTCTTATCTAAACAGTGCATTGGACAGATAAGAACTTAGACTTCTTTATCATATTAATATTTCCCCGGGGGGGGGGGGGGGGGATTGATAACCAATTAAATGCGGCTATTGCCACACCATACCATGTCCTGCTTGTTGGCAAAGACCAAGATGACAGCATTAAGCATAAATGGATCCCTAATAATGGCCTGAAAAATGAAGAGCTTAATCAGAAAATATTCCCCAGAAGCCTCCGCAAAATGAAGACATAAATTATCCAGAAATATAACCTGAAATTCTGCCTTTGCCTTTCCAATCCTCTCTCTATCCAAAGAGTCAACGACGTAGATCTACATAAAGAAATAGCTTAATCAAGATACCTGGATACATTTAAAAAGGAAACTCAAAACAGGAAAGGAGATAAGCAGCATGTAACATTAGCACTGGCTCTCTCTAGCTAAGACAACTGTCAGAGTTATCAAAGGCTCCACAGGTAATGCAGGGTAATGGTAATAAAGAGGGATAGAATGTTGGGACAAAGGAAATCGTTACCAGTCCATCCGTATTATTGAAATAATGCCTCCACAGTGGCCTTAATTTTTCTTGTCCACCTACATCCCACACCGTGAAAATTACATTCTTATACTGAACCTTTTCCACATTAAAACCTGCATCACATAAGAAATTCTCATGTTTTAGTTCCATTTTTATCTACAAATAGTGCTATAGAGACATGGACATAGCTGGGATCATTCTAAAGTGCCCAAACAGTGAATGCCATGTTTAATATCTACATATTTAGCTGTCAAATCTGACAAATCAAGAAAACAACCAACTGCTTTTGGAACACAGAAATGAAACACAGGACTCATGAACTCAAATTATAAGAATCCCCCCCCCCCTCTCTCTTTAAGGAAAGTCATAGTATATAAGAGAAAAACAACAAAGATACACAAAAGAAGAACAGGGAGATAATGTGAAAGAACCCGTAAGGTGAGTACAAGAAAAATTACCAGCTCAATGAATTCACACGAGAAAACAAATTTTATTGCCCATGAACCCTTCAAAATTCACCTCTAGAAAGTGACAAACAAGAAAGCAATTTAGAATTTTATTACTTGTAAGATGCATTGCTGATAGTTCCATTTGTTGACTGACAAAGCTCAGAGTACTGCAGATGAGACAATCCAATTACATGCAGAGTACTACAGATGGCTTGCAAGTGTTTAAAATCAAGTAAAAACAAAATCCACTTTTTTAAAAAGACGATGTGCAGCAGTAAAACCATTAGTTAACATAAAAGCTTGCTCACCCTTTTGGGATCAATAATGTGGGCCCCGTGTAACAGCCCATATTCACTGGTAAGTAACCCCAAAAAAAAAAAAATCTTTCCAGACTTTAAGACTATGTTCAAACTTAACAAATTAAGAACCAAGAAAACACACATTCACAGAACAGTAACAGCATGTAGGGACACCTAATGTGAGACAGCCCAATCCATCAGATGCTACCATTAATTAATTCTGGTTTACTCTAAACTTCACCACGCCTCCAATATAAATTGCGGATGACCCAATAAAATCTAGGGTGCTTTAAGAAAAATAACATAACCTACCGATAGTAGGAACTGTAGACAAAACTTCTCCTATATGAAGTTTGTAGAGTATAGTTGTTTTGCCAGCTGCATCCAGCCCAAGCATCACAACCTGTGGCACATGAAATACAAATAAGAAGCATGAAGGAATAACAATAAAAAGTATCAAGGCATAAAGGCAGAACCATCTGAAATATCCAGAAGAAAGGGCAGCAAAGCAAGGGATACTAATAAGTAAAGAAGATCCACTACAAGAAGACAAAGAAGGTGCATTTCATATACATATACATACACATATCCCGCCACCATGGTAATAGGTACATGAGAAAGTATGATGTCCAAAGGGACATCAAGCAGCACTGAGAAGCACATAGATGGGTCAAACCAGAGAAGAAACTTTCAAGAGATATTAGTCTAACCTAGATGAAAAGGTCAACCACTTCCCTATAAACACAGGATATTTGATTTAATAAGTGTTAACAAATGACGCCCAAAGATTATGGGTAATTCTAAGATGCTTTGCCCAGATCCCATCTATGGACATGCTTTAACATTTTAGAAAGTAGTAGCAGCATAGATAATTAGTTTCAATTGAAAGAATAAAGGCCTGATTCTGTGCTGCCCACGTTCCTTTTTTTTTTTTTTTGGTGTGTAAGCCTATTTCACCTTTTTACCTGTGATGAGTTAGTTAGAAAGCAAATGTTCCTTGTCAGGGTTAGTGGACATGAATCTAACAGCAACTGCAGATGGTGAGGACAGCCTCTACCCCAGGAACCAGCGGGTACATGAAGCAGAGACACACACACACACACACACGTGAATCAAGCCTGCACTATTCTCAAGCAGTCAAACTCATGTAGGGGGACAAAATTATGATTAATTTATTTGCATGGTCTAAATTATGCTATGGCAGTTGAAAAGCATTTATGTATAACCCAACAATAACCTATTCCGCTAGACAGGACTGAGCAATGAGAAAATTCACCCTCCCCACCTTTACACAGTTCTGAACAAAAATTACACGAAGCAAAAAGAAAAAAAATATGAGGAAGAGGAGGATAACTTTTTATCATAAGGGACGGCACATGCAATCCGGAATAAGCGTACTGTTCTGATACTTACAAGGGACCGAGTTATGTTGTTGACGACGATACGTGGTGATCAGAAGAAGACATTATCAGGTAAGTTTAACTTATGACTTGAACTGCTAAGACATAAGTAGTAAACTGGAAACCTACATTCTACAACAGCATCAGCACATAGACTTGGGATGTACAGTTGAAGCCGTATAAAGAAGAAAAAAGAAATGCCACAATTTGGGACGAATTCAACACGTAAGGTCGAAGCTAATGTCTCAGATTCGCCTTCGTTTTTTTTGTTGGGGGCCAGGGGCAGGGAGGGGCGTTCGTGTCAAGTCAATTGGGTGGGACGTAAAATAACAACAAAAAGAGAAAAGAAAATGGAAAACAACACGTTGAGCTACAGTATTTCTTGAAGCAATGGAAAACCCCTAAAAAAAAATGAGTTAGGGAGGAGGAGAGGAGGAAGAAGACAGTAAGAAAAAGAAAATAAATAAAAACCCAAAAAGAAGAAATTACTGAAGCTACTGCAACTCAGCAACAAGCATCATTAAAATAGAAGAGGTTACACATGAAATTAGCACGAAAATATGCACAGAGAGGGAGAGGGAGAGAGCTTTTTTTTTTTTTTCTTTGTTTTGGTGGTGGTGGTGGTGGAGGGGGAAGAAGAAGAGAGAGAGAGTGGGAGGGGAGGGGTGCTGGGGACTGGGGAAGGGGGTGGTGGTGTGGTTGGGTCTAGGTCTTACCCTCATCTCAGAGTTGCCGAAGAAGGCATCGAAGAGCTTCCTGAAAGCTTGTCCCATTACTATTTCAGCTGCCGCTGCTTCCGCCTCCACCAGCCGCCGGTCCTCTCTTTCTGTTTTTGTTTTTGTTTTTTCGAAAAAAAATCTTGAATTGAAGTAGAGACCAAAATTGATACAGTAGTGGTTATTCTAAGAAATCAGCTGATCACTATCTGAAGGAAGAAAAAAAAAGGATGAATCATTATTAGAAAAGAAAAACCGGAAAGGAGGATCCAACCCCCCAAACTCAATCACCACCAGAATTAGAATTAGAAAGAATACCCTGTCGGTCTGTGATCGGGGAATTAACGCTTACTTTGAAGGAGTATAATAATAATAATAATAATAATACGCTCAATTACTTGTAGTGGTCCGATCAGAGAGAGAGAGAGAGAGAGAGAGAGAGATTTCTTGACGAAAAGGTAGCGTTGGCTCTCACAAGACGAGTTTCTGATGAATCTGCTTCTTCACTAACAACTCTTCTTTTACTTTTTCTTTTTCTATTAATCTTCCTCTTTTAATTTTCCTTTTCCCGTGTCTCCTTGCTCCTGATTCAAATTCAAGACGACTCCTTTTAGTTTCTACCCAAAAAAGAATTAAAAAATTTGCTTTTTAGCTTATAGTAATTATCTTTGCCCCATGATTCTATTTTCCACTAGAAGCTTTTTTCTTTTACCATATCGGGTTAAAATTTTTAGCAACATCAATCCCATAATTCCAAATATAGAAACTCAGGACTTTTGTATGATAGAAATTTAAACTTAGATGATTTTAATTGTCAAGACTTTTCAACCGCATCCTTTAATCCAAAGCAAAACGCAATCTCAATTACGTATTTAACAATGACAATTGTCAGTTCCTAATCTCTTTTTTTTTTTTTTTGAACAAAGAAAATAAAAGAGAAATAATTCTTAAATTATACGTTTAGTGAAGTTCCCACTTTACAACGCTTCAAAGTCGCTTTGAGCCACTGGCATTTATAATAAATTAGAATTTTTTCCCTATTTATTTTGAAATTTAGTAGATTCTCAGTACGATAATTTACTGTATTAGTAGCATCGAAACTGAAGCAAAAAAAAACAGTTAACTGCTTTGCTCATAAAGCAAGAAAAATTTTTTTTGTACAATATAACTTTTTTAATTAATCTTTTCTCCACTGACATTATATAATGAATGACCACTACATAAAATTTAAATTTAAAATTCAACTTTTACACACGTCATAAATCCAACGACGATAATTTATACACTGTACATATAAAATTTAACTTTTTTCATTGATTAAAAAACAAGATTAAGGAAGGATCATTATAACAAGACCCAAATATATATATATATATATATTGCATTTTATATTGTACCTAAATAGAAAAAAAAAATTTTGAAAAAAACTTACAGCTCAAATTCCATGTAGGAACACCCATAAATAGAACATAGGAACCAAAAAAAAAAAAAAAAAAAAAAAAAAAAAAAAAAAAAAAAAAAGCAGTGCGTAGCAATGGCACGAAGCAACGAAAAAAATTTTAGGCGATGTTCAGGATAATCTTCAAAATTCTTTGTGATCATCTGCAGTAAAACCACAAATTAAATAAACACAGAAAGAAGCAAATGGCTATCATAGATCTCGATAAGCACATGTTAACCACCATCAAGTGCTTGACATTAAAAATCAAATTCAACTACAGATACACCAAATACATACTAGAATTCCAAACATTAAACAGTCCATAATTATAAACTAAAACAAAAAGGTTCTGAAATCCTTCGTAATACTTTAACTAATACATAGTGAAATAGCAATTTTTAGTACATACACAATGTTGTCGTTTTGGACCTACTTTCTCGCTACATCAACACAATAAGAGGTCAATAGATGATCAATAGATAACCCAGCTGTACATAAGAAGCTGATAGCAAAACTAACATTAATCACATACGAATGAAGTCTGTTAAGACCACATTTGCTTTGTAACATGCCAGGGACTACAAAATATGGCATGCATATCCTCATTTCCATTGTAGATATAACTTGATTATTTGGTTGCTACCATATGAATAAGCCCTAAATATACCATAGGTCAGCAAGGATTTAATAGTTTAACAAGGGTTAGCTTACTAACCTCCAACGTACACTGAAAAACAGCTTCAAATATTCGAGGAACATCTTCTATCATCGCACCCTTGTACCTAAACATCAGAAGATGCCAGTGCACATAAATATATAGAAAAACTTTTATTATAACATCTAAGACGAAGATCAATGACAGGAAGGGAAACACTAGTTGTATTTCACAGATTAACTGACTTTTGGGGGGGGGGGGGACACAAAACACATGCAAGGGGATTGTGTAGACTAATATGGGCCACTAGACTGGTATGGGCCAACTAAAAGCTATTTGTGTAGAGAGCAAGATGACCCTAAACAAACACAGCACGTTAAACAATAACTAAAGATCCCACAACCAACAACAGACAATACACTACTACTTGCAATATAAAATCAAGTACCATAGAACAAACCAACAAAGTCAGTATATGCCATCACATCATAGTACTCAGAATCAAAGAAAAAACAACTTAAATGAAGAGAGGAATAAAATATAAAGTTCAACTATCTGCAAAGAACAAGCTCTGTGAAACATATTAGTTTATTATAGTAGCAAAACAAGAGAGAAATTCTGATTCTCTAGCATCAAGAAATTTAAAATTCAACTATCTGCAAAGAACAAGATCTAGGAAACATACTTGTTTATTATAGTGGCAAAAAGAGAGAGAACTTCTGATTCTCTAGCATCAGGCAAATTCCGGGCATAATCACCAAGAATTGGGTCCATCATCGGGGGCACAAATTGTTTTCCTATCTGTGGTTGATCTTCGGACTTATCTAAGAATGTCTCTATGAGTTTAAGCGTTTCCCGCTTTACCGAGCTGCACAGCAGGCCAAACAAAAATAAGAAAATAAAATGGAGTAGGAATATTAAATGAAAAGGCCAAAAAAAAACTTACCGCAAGAGTTTCACTATGGATGTTCTATAAGCATATGGTCCTCCTTGCGCAAGGCTTGTGGATATAAGCTCACTATACATTCTGTTGTAAACACAAGTATCAACAAAAGCATCTCATAGCTTATTGAGCCATTAAGTAAAATTCAACAACAGAATGGTATGCAGGTAAGAATTCTACTATTACAATACCTGTACACATTAAGCATGTCCAGAAAGATAAGAGAAATCTGCGACAAGAAGTAGGTTCCAAGGGAACTGGCAACACTAGTATTTGTCTGCAAGTAACAAAAATTTCCACTAAAATAACAAATGTTTTTTCATCAAGACAAAGTGCAGTTCCCATCCGCTTGTCCACATGACCCTACTATAAAAGCATGAGATACAATGAATATCAAAATATAGGGCTTCGGTGACAGTAAGGTAGAATTCAATGGTGATGGCACAGTGAAGGCTCATATCTGCTCAAATTTTGAAAAGACCAACTTCTCACAAGCAGATTCATCATCAGAAAACTAAACCACACTTGTATGTTTAACTTTTAAGTTGACAGCTATGAAATTGTTATACTGATGATGAGGTCCCTTCAGCACACTTTATAGGCGTCTATCACTCATATTCTAGCAGCCTTACTTTGGGGTCAAATGGAAGGCCTTTAAATATACACGTCATTTTTCAGAACTTTCCATAGCAAATCTCTTCTACTGCATCAAGAGGAAAACCTGATCTAATTTGCATAGCGCTAGAGATTCAAATAAGGAAGACCACTCACATAGAAACCACATATATGTTAAAATCCATAGAGTCAACCGCTTGGTAATCCATTTCCTAAAGAACTAATGCTTTATAAATAACAACAAAAACAGCATATTCGAGCTTCACAAAGTCTACTGCACAACACCTGCAATATGTTGAGAACTGCCCTTATAATATCTTGATCTTTCAAGAAGTCCACACTTTGACGAGCTTGTCCAATAATTTCATTCCATCTCTGCATAAAACAACAGGGTCAAAAGCTTGAAACCCTTGGTACCGAGCATTCGCCATCAGTAAAACCCATTCCCATTCTAGAAACCAATAATATGGATCTTGCCTGATTAGGAAGCTCCATCAGCCGCTGCAAGTATTCATCCCTCTTCTGAGGGTCAGGTTCAGCTTGAATCATATGACCAACCTAAAGCAGTAACAAGGCAGCAAGTAATCAAATCTTTAACAAAACTAAAACTTCAAACAAATTGAAGTAGGATAACGCACTCTAAATGCACTTACAGATTCATAAAAGGTATGAATCTGATGGGGCTGAAGATCAGCAATTGTTGTTGGAAGAGTAGTCAAAAGTTCAGAGACAAATGGTTCACTTTCTCCAAGCTAAAAATAAAGGAAAATCAAGAAGTATCAACTGTCATGGAACGAGGAAAAGAAGGGGAAGAAGAGAAGTGAGGGAGGGGGGGGAGAGTACCAAAACCAGTCTTACCTGGAGGATAACAAATTTCCGCTTGCATTTCTGAACAATTTTCAGGAAAGTGTCACAGGCCATGTCCTATCAAAAGCCAGATAACTCCATTCAACAATAGTTACCAATGCACAGTATTGCCATTGGAAAGCAACATTAAAAAAAATTTTCAGGTTGAATCCAGACAACAAAAATTTCAAAAATGGAGCATGGTAACAGCTGCCTTCACACGAAGATAAGAATGTGTATGTAAGTAGAAACAAGCCAGCCTTTAAGACGCAGAATATAAGAAAGTCAGAACATTGCTGTCAAATTATCCCCAGCCTTCGAAGTTATCCAATAAATTGAATTTTCTCTTGAGATTATTTGGAGTAACCTTCAACACATTTCAAAATACGTACCCATGTGGTTCAAAAACAAAAGTTTAGGAACCAAAAACAAAGAAAGAGAACTAATCTCTCTTCAAACTAGGCAAGAAAGCACTTGTTCAAGTCCTAACTAAGGGCTTCTTGTCCACAGTTTAAGATCAGCTGACTTGAGCTTTATTTCAAGCTAAATGCTGGTTTTCTAAACTTCTTCTGTCTTCAACTTTTAGCTTATTTTAAGCCAAAGAAAAATTAAAACGAAATAATTTCTTCTGAACTGCTTTTCAGCTTTTACTTTCCAAAACAAATAAAACAAAAAAAAGGGTTTAAACATTTTCAACAGATATTTAATAGTTAACTTTTGTACAATCAGGTTGAACAAAGCAGCTGTAGAACACACGCCTGAGATTCCCCCACCAACTAAAGGCGCATGTAAAAGAATCTCACAGTACAATATCTAGATTGTTTAGCTAACAGCAATACCAACCACATCTGAAATACACAGATCATGCAAACAAACCTGAACTCCAGGATGTGTCTCGTGCATGAACTCAAACAACTTATTCACAACAGTTTTCAGAAACTTCCAATGAGCCCTCAGAAATCTTGGATACTGACCAACCACATACCTGGAATCAACAGGAATAACGATGAGGAAATTTATTAGGCTGACAACAGAAACATGACATTGAATGCACACAAGGAACATGTCAACGACACATACATAAAATGTAAAATGAAGAAGCGAGGCAAGAATTTACTCATCCAAGACAAGTAAAGGAGCCTAGTTCTAAAGTCAGAACAAAGGCAACTAACAAACTGCCATAGCATGCTAGGTAATGTTCACAAGAACCAAAATAAAAAAAAAATAAAAAGAAAATGCAGTTTAACATCTCACATTATATTACTTGCAATAACTGCTTTGTTGTCTTTGCCTTTTGTAATCTCACAAAGGTTTAACAAATCACGTATCACCATCACAAGAAATCTGTTTTCCTGTCACAGTTGATGCAAAAAAAAAAAGGTAAGAAAATGGTGAAAAAGAAAAAGAACTACAAAACTGAAAGTAATCCAAACACAAGGTCACATTCCGAATAGAAAGAAGCCAGAAAAAAGTCACTCAGCGCAGAAAGACTAACAAACAGGAAAAAAATATATAGCATAAAGCAATACACCTGTTCCTCCATCATTGATCCTGATATAGATCCTATTGCCCAGCACAAGGTATTTAGGTTGTTCCACGTCCAATCCTCACCATTCAGCTGTTTATTTAACTTCCTCAGCATCTGTTAACAAGATTCATCATACATGTCAACACCCCTTTTTTTAAAATTTTACATGTCAACTCCTTAAACAAATATAGAAGAAAATCATAATAACTATAACAGTTTCGACAAGGAAAGATTTGAGCACCATCATTCATTTATAACCCAGGCCAACAAAATTGATGAGAACCATAGGCGGCCACCACAAATTGCAAAGAATGTTACACATAATGGATACGAGCTAACAGAATGCCATTTAGGAGCATAATTGGCAGCCAATTGTATCAGATTCAAAGTAATAAAACAACTTAGAAGCGCTGTCGCATATGCAGAACGCTAATACCCATCATGTCCGTTAATTTCAAGTCCCAATCAATCCTCTAAAGAGTCGAAGCACACAACTTATACTTTCATGCAAACTATCTTTTCCATGCATAGGGTGGTCACTATGAGGATTTGCTATAGATATAACATAAGAATCTCTACGTTGCCATAGACCTAACCACTTAACAACAATACAAGAAGAGTAAAACCAAACTATCTTAATAACAACACAAGAAGAGTAAAACCAAACTATCTTAACAATCGAGGCATGGAAATTAAGATGCCAGAAGACTGCATGCAATGAATACCTGCTTTTCAGTGTCTTCATGATCCAGATGCGATAAGTATATCAAGGTTTCTCGCATGATCTGCAATATCAAACTTCATCAAATATTGCAGCATCGACATCGCAAGGGAACTTATAGACATCCAAAAAGCAAGGCAGGGGAACTTAGTGATCAAATATTGCAGCATCGACGTCGTAAGGGAACTTATAGACATCAACAAAGCAAGGCAGGGGAACTTAGCGCTTAGTGTAAATTTCCAGTTTCAACAAGTTAGTTGTTAGGCAAGAGCAAGCGAAAGCAACAAAATCATTTTCTTACTTATTCTATGAATAGAATGCTGAGAAAACACAGCATATAATGAGTTCAACTCCAAAGCCTGCAATTCAAAACTATTTTCTCCCATGGAAACACACAGGCACATCATATTCTGGTAAGATAAACAAGTAGAAGAATGCACATGCGCTTCAACATAAACTTGCAGGTCAATAATCAATACCAAACAAGGACATCGAATTCACCACTTGCTTAAGAACAAAGACACCCCAGATAACCATTAGCAGCAATATCTGGATACTCTCTGAGTTATATTATTGTTGATTCCATCATTTCTTTCACCTTTTGTGCAAATAAGAGCATTTAAGTCAATTAACTAGTAGTTGGTCTTCTACCTTCACATAGAAAGATTACCATACGACTAAGCATATTGAGCCAGCAAAAAGAGCGGAAGGATAAAAAGGAAAGGACTCCTAAACAAGAACAAGACCTTATATTGAACAAGGACATCATTATCCTTCATAGTTTCACGAACAATGTTCCCATTTTCATCTTCAACAATCAGAACTTCTTCAGGCTTAGCCATCCGTGAGATCATGAGCAATCTCAACTTTGACATCGGCTCAGCATAAAGCTGCCGTCTCTGCAGAAGCTGCGAGCCAAGGCCATCAACAAGACCCATTGGCATGTGCTAATGTGACCAAAAAAAAGGTCCATTGTCAGGAAAATATCAATCAAGAGTATGTAAAGATCATTCAAGGTTTTCACCAATGTGTTAGTAGAAACAGCCAACAGGCAATGATGACTGAGAAACAAGGGTCCATTTTGATGGAATCTTTTGGTGTTGTTATTAGAAAAAAATTTAATATAGCTACTTTATTGAAAAAAGTGTGTGAGACCAAAAGGTGGTCCCAGAACTTGTTATTATAAAATAGACTTTTGAGAAACAATCCAAAAAAATGGAGTCAATAGTGGAAAGAAATAATCTATAAAACCTGCAGGCCAATCATTGCTGTGGCTGCAGCATTCTCCGAATTATGGTGTGCCTCAAACAGCTCCAAGACCAAGGAGTTCCAATAGTCGAGACAAACCTGTGTAGTCATGCCAAAACAATGATATATAATCAGAAATGACAGTGCTGAATGCTTACTAAAATTGTAACACAGCCATACACATACCTTAAAAACCTCAGTGTCATCAACATATGAGATGTTAATGAGATACTCTAGTCCCATCAACAGGGTATTAACATTCTCTGGGGCAGATTCCAGCACCCGTATGTGAGACTGCCAAAAAATTAATCCCATTAGCACAGCTGCCAAACAAAACTTTGCCACAACACGTCTCCATCAGTCCCGTGACCAACATATATTTGTTACACAAAATGGTATTAATAGGATTCTATCAGAGTATGTAGTATGCATTCCTGAAGATCAATTTCTTATAGTTACTATTGTACTCTCACTCTAATGTAGAACCAATTTATCCATGACAGCTTTTTTCTACCAGACTCAGAAAAGAATTTACATGTATATATGGATGTACATATGGCAAGCACGAAATAGACAGCTTTTAGCTATGGACACCCCAAAGCCGCTTGATGCTGGCAATTTGTTCACCAAAAGGGAGGAGAAAGTAAAGTCACTCCATATCTAAATAAACAAACTTGCTGATAACCTATCAAACTGCTATATCAAAAGTCAAAGGAAGTAATCAGTATCATGTAATCCACAGATGCAGCTTAACCACAAATGTAAAGTTGATCAAATCAATACTGCTTCAGCTGCAAAAGGTAAATCTAAAGGTTTATACTCCTAATTAATCCCAGAAAAATTGTTAATTCCTAATTCTTTGATTTTGCAAAGCTTTAATTTCAATCCATTAAACAGTTCTTTCACCTCAGATAATTAAAGCAACTTCCTGGCCGCGTAGCACATACAATCAGACATATCACCAGCATACAAGTGGCTTGACCACAAAGAAAAGAAACTTGCCTTGAAAAAAGATGTGAAAAACAACGCTAAATTCTGGATAAATGCCTGAAGAGGAAAAGAAGAGAGTCAGCTTGATAGATGTTGAACAAGTTTTAAGACAAAGATAGACAAAGAAGATAAATCCACCTGCTCCTCACTGCTACCATTGGCATAAGCTTCAGGTATATTTGTGGTAAGTGGGAGTATGGCCTGAATACAACAAAGATATTTGGAATCAGCATATAAATAGAAGAACACATGTTCATGCCCAAGCTCTACTACAATTGAGGACAAAATTATGCAGAACAAGCACAAATTGAATATGACATCCCACCAAAGTTGCTCCAATAACCTCAAATTCAACTTAAGCACTAGACCTGCAATTGCATGATGAATACGTTGTACATCTTAACATATTGAACGTTGTAGAAATCCCCAAAATTTAGAGCGGCAACCTGCAAAACATCAAAATTGCATCAAGCATCGACTCATTCAGGATGCTATCAGGAATTCCTACCATGGAGACCTGAAAAAGATTACCTCAGTCAAACATTGGAGGGTGAGATTACGGTATGCGGGAACAGGAAAAAATTTAAGAAGTGTTTCGAGCTGCAAGTTAAAAAATACAAGGAACTTCAGAGCCATCCAACTATAATGGAGTAAATGACAGCCAAGTTTCTACAGAAAGGAACTAGCACGGTAAATGACAGCCAACTTTCTATGGAAAGGAACTAGCATGGTAAATGACAGCCAAGTTTCTACGGAAAGGAATAAGCAAGAAGGACATCCATGTTGAAATCAATATCATGCTGCAAACATCCAATAGTCCCTCCACTGACAACTCCAGGAAAGCAATGTACAAACCAGTGGAGATTCAAAAATGTAGCCCAGAGGAATCCATGAAAGGAAAGCATGCAGTGTGGCCAGTGTAGCCCTGATGAGCTCAGTTCTTTGAGATGCTGACAGTACATATAAGCATAACTCATGAATGAGTTGAAACTCGCTGAAACAAACGCAGAAAACATGTTATAAATGTTAATCATCAAGATACAATATATTCAAATCCATGTACGGAATACATCAAAATACAATATATTCAAATCCATTAATGAAGTACAACAAGATAAGAGGAACACGACAATGAATCAAGATACAAGTCATGTATAATTAAGGATGATTTCGGCAATAATCATCAGATGCAGCCCAAATAAGAAAGATAAAACTACTAAAGGAAAAGCAAATTATGAATAACACAAGAAAAATGCCCCAATTTTAAGGATGATACTTGTGAATATTTTTCCTAATACAAAATTCTTTTTCTTTATTAATTCAACATGTGAACCATACTCATCCATGCATCTCAAATCAAATTATTAAAAAAATATATCTAGAAAGCAATACCAGGGAGATCATTCAAATGTTTAAGGGATGCTCTCAATACATGAACTGGGATCTTACCCATAGCATCATCACAAAATTAGCTACATAACATAACCAATCAACAGAGATGAATGCCTAAAGCAATGGATCTACAAGATCAAAGAAAAAAATTGCCATTGCACGTTATAAGACCCAAAAAGTAACCTAATCCAACATAAAATACCTGTTTAACGATTGTTTGAGCTCTTTAATCTTGAGTTGAGTCATTTCACCCCTTGAGAAATCAAACACCTCTTCACTTAAAAGCTGAAAATAAACCCCACAATAACCAAGAGAGCCTACTACCATATTTCAAGAAGAAATAGGGATTAATGTGACTAACTTTCAATATAGCCATGCAATTTTCACAAATAGTTTCACTCGTTTTCGCTGCAGCCACTAAATCGGGAATGAAACTTCGCCACCTAGCCGGCCATTCATGCTTTAAAATCTGTCAATTCAGATGAAGCATGCTATCAAGATTACATAGTAAAAAATAATCTGAGGCTACAGATCGAAGGAGGAACAACTATTCAGCCTACAAATGATTGGAGGAAGCAAAGCAAAGTTACCTGAACCAATATAATGTTTAATTTGTTGACGTAAAGTCTTTCACGACGAAAAGAAGCTTCATCACTTGACAGCTGGCAAAAAATGCAAGCAGAATAAGTAATATATTAAGAGTAAGTGCATGGGAAACAGAAAAGACAACTGAAGTATCACCTTTACAATAACTTCAGAGATATAGTTTTTCATCCCATCTCGTTGTTCAACAGGCAATGCATTCCATCTATATTTGATGACACCTTCTAGAACCTGCACATGGAAACACCATAAATGCTCCTCCACGTACAGTGCACATGGGAAAGATAGAGTCAAAGCACAACTACTTCACACAAAACAACATTCCAACATAAATACACGATAACAGATTAATTACCAACAGAGGATGAACAATTGTAGAAAAGAAGATTGCTAAAGAAGAATCCTACTGTGCTGTTCACTGTCAGCACCAGCTGTCACAAATCCAGTGCAACATCGAAGCAAGAAATACAAGACCAATGTTAAAAAAGGAAGAGTGTCCTTATTGCCATTAGAACTAGAGAAAGAAAGAGGGAGAACCATCCTTGGGATGCTTTCAATGCCTAACCACCATTCATAATAAGCTCATTTCAGACACGAACCAACAAATGTTCCCAAGCAAAAGCACACAACTATCAGTTGCAGTTTAAAGATAAATTTTCCTCATAAGTGCCAATGTAGTAGCAAAAATATCTCTAGCTCCTAATAGCTAAGTCTAATAACCAAGTTCGAAATAAAAAAAAAGTTGACAGAAGCACCGAAAAAATCAAGCTTTTTTAATTAATGCAACATTTCAAATGCCGAGAATAAGCCATTGACAGGAGACTCTAAACAAGAACCTCCACACACTTTAAAACAGTATGCAACTGACCTGTAAAGCAAAAAATTTGGTATTCAAGTTCTGGGTGTTTGATAGAATGTGAACCACTTGAAGCCACATATCTGGATTATTTTGCAAGTCCCGCAAAATATGATCCGCAGCAGTTCTCTGCAGCACACAATTGAAAAAGATACATCGATAAACTAAGTGTAAACCCACTGTGGTTGTTAATGAAACACCCAATATTCAGAAACTATATACCGAAATAAAATAAATTTGCAGCCCATCTATATTGCTGGAATATAAAACAAAATAAATAAATAAAATCATTAGAGAGCAAGTACAGAATGCAATATCACAAGATATTATGTAGGTTGTAATCACGCCTGAAGAAAAGCATGATCATAGAAGCCCATCAGAACAGTTACTCAAAATTTCCTCTATTTGCTCTATACTTGCCCATGACTCCACCTTAAGGAAACAAAAAGACATGAAATGGATCCCTAAACTGCTAGTCTGATGGCCAATATTCAGCTCCAAAGTCAAGTGCAAAGCCTCTTTCAAGTCTGAAAAGCAGGTAAACTCTTTCCATCGTAGTCAAGAACAGCAGAAATTGTACTTCACAAACTCACTCTCCCATGGCAAGATATTGAACCTTCATGGCATCAAAGGAATGAGTTGTTCTCAAACCTAACAAGTCAATATTCCACCAAAAGGAATGACCCTGCATCTAGGAACCTATATCCTCCACCGATCTCTTGTTACCTTCAATTTCTTTATCCTCTTCATACTGCCAGTTTGTTCTTACCTTTGCGTCACCATATTTTCCTTCAGTTTCCATTGGTTAGGTTACTCCCACCACACTCAGTTTACATTTGACCCAGCTTCATACTCAGTTTACATTTGACCCAGCTTCTTTTCAAACCAGTCACTAATCTGTGCATGTTTTTCAACAGAATGACATGTCTATGACAACCATGAGCCTTTTTAACCTCATCCACACAGAATCATCAGGAATGGCTAACAATAGGTGCAAGAAATGGTGCAACATAGAAATGATGTCCAATACGTGTGACCATTTTACATAAATTCTACAAATGTGATGAAGATTCCATCATTTTCAGCAATGCAAAAGTGCTAAGGTAAATTAAATCCTATAGTTGCTGAACAAACTTAATCCCCCCCCTCCCTAAAGTTTCTATTGTGGAAAGAAAAAGTGGTGCCATGTGTGTAGGGAGGGCAACTGTAACTCTGGATAACAGAGCCTCCTGGAGACCCAAAACTTCTAGAGCAAGGTTACAAGAGAGAGAAAAAATCCCTTTGAGGCATCCTGTTGGGCATCTTTTGTTTAAACTCTAAAGGGCACCCTCCTGTAACCTCAGCTAAGTGCCTTCCTCACAAGAGGTCAAACTAAACTCAGGCACTACACATATTATTACAAGAATTATCTGCATAGATAAATTTCACCACACTTAGTTGCAAATATCCTGCAAAGTTTACTTCTTTTAGGAAAATGCGCCACAAACCTGTTATGTGTAAGTCAGATTCACATATCAAAAAGTAAATAAACAGTTAAGAAAGTGGTACAAGTGAAACCCTGCTTTAAGCTTCCTCTGGTACTCAGAAACTCATCAAACCTAAAGCAGCATTTTCACACCTAAGGATACATGGTCAGTCAAGATGATTCAAAGTTCATTAGGAACTTTGCATTTTCAATACTTAGGACGAGAACAAACAGAATTGAAGATTAAAAGTGTGGGAAAAAAGGGAATTTTCAAAAGTCCAAGGTCGACTTAACAAGATTTAAAACAAAATGATATCCCAAACTCCGAACTATAGCGCACTTTCATGTGAATTTGTGGAGAACGTTAACTTAAATGGGAAGGGCGTGCATGCACGAAGACATTTAATGGATCCACCAAATATCCCGTGCAACGCCCAGGGGGAAAAAATGGAAGATGAGAAAAAAGTGAAGCTTTGGATTGTAGAAATTGAAATTATGAGCAGACGAGTTCCCCCGGTCTTAATCATTCAGGAAACAGAAACCAGAGAAAGAGGTGCAGTAAAGGAGAGCAGGAGGAGGTTAGTCCTATCTTACGAGAAATTTACAATTGAGGTCATGACTTTGCTTGCATTTGGTAGCAACTGGAAATGCTTTAACCATAGCAATAAGAAACAGGCAAGTAGAGAATCGCAGGAAAAGACAAGAAAATGCAGGGAACAGGAGAGTGTGATGAACATGAACATGAATATGAATATAATGGGATGCATACTAATACAAAAGTAGTAGACAAGTGTATAGGAAGGAGGAGAGAAAATAGTACTGGGAAAAGAGGAAAAAGAAAAAAGGCCAGACCTCTTCTTTAGATCCGGTGCCATAGAAGGCGGCAACAGTGGCGTCGAGTAAGGAAACATCAATCGGCTGAGACAAATCCCTAAGCTTGTCGGCGGCGGCCATTGAGCGGAGATCAGAAGGGGGTGATAAACCCTAGAAATTAGAAATTAGAATGGACGGGGGGATAGTAGGCAGCAAAACCCTAGGGTGGAGAGTGTGGAGGTGGAGCAAAACCCTAGTTTAAGAATCGAGAGGGGGCGCCTGTGAAAAAGAAAGGAAGAGAAAGATAAACAGAGACGCAAAATAGGCACAGGACGGCGACGGTTCTAGAAAAAAAAAACACACGCACACACACACACTGGCACTTAAAAAGACAGCTTCAAATTGAAGCAGACACAAATAGAGAGAGAAACTTTGAAATTTGTTTAGGCCCTTCCCTCCTCTTTCTCCTCACTGCTTGTTTTTTTATTTTATTCATATAATAAATGTATGTACGCTTTATCATCAAAGGGCCGGTACTACTTACTATAACTAAGCCATACCCAGTCACCGCACCGGTATCGCCCAATGCCCTGCATTTCACTTCATCTTTTGTACTTTATTTTATTTTTAATTTTTTTTGTGCATTTATGTATTCATTAATATTTGTATTAATATTTTTCTTTTCTTTTTAAATTAATTATTTATTAATCCGTTTTACTTGCGTAGCCTTCCTCTGGGTAGGAGTAAATATTTTATTTTTACCCTGCCAGCTGTTACTTGTCAAATATACTCGTTATTAATTATATAGTAAACGTTAAAAACATATATATACATATAGATATTTGGGCGAAGAGCGGCGCTGGTTGCTCTTCTTGCCAGCGGTGGCAATTGGGTTGTAAAATTGTATGTAATGCGGTGGTTTGGCCGAGAAAAGGAAATGGTACAAGTCTCCTCCTCCTTTGGTGGTTGATCGGTCGTTCCTTTTTTCCTTTTTTTTTTTTTTTTGCCCTTTTGTCAAGTCGAGACCATGGTCTTTATCTCCCTCTTATAGTTGACCAAAGATTTGAAAATTAATAAGTGCTAAAAGTATTAAGTTGTTTAATTAGTTAAGTTATATCTGTTTAATAACTAATTCAATTATAGTATTGGTTTGAAATATCATAAAAGTATTATGTTTTTATCTTGAAAAATGCCTTTATTTGTGTATTTATAGAGAAAAAAATGTATATGTGTGTATTTGAGAGAAATATAAAATAATGAACCAAGTTACAAAGGTATAATTTCGCAAACCTCCCCTATAGTTTTTAATAATTGTGGAGAGCTCCCTTCAAGTTTTAAAAATTAAATATACTTCCCCTATTTTACTATTTATATGACAATATTGGTCCAACGAACTAGGGGCCTATTTGGAACCTGAGTTTTTTGGGAGTTTGTCTAAAATTTTTGAAAAAAATTTGTAAAAGTTTTTATAAGGTGAAAAATTTTGTAAAAGTTTTTGTAAGGTGAAAAACGTTTTTTCCCTTTTTTTTCTTTCTTTCCTTTTTCTTTTCTTTCCTCTCTTTTTCTTCTTCTTCCTTCCCCCTCCTCGTTCCCCGCTACCTCTACTGCCTGAACAGGCCACATCTTTGCAGTCCACTCTCTTTCTTCATTTCCCCCAAACCTACCTGTAACGATCCCACCTTCTCCTAAGGCATACCCTAGAAGTTAGCGGATCGCTTGCCTGACTCTCGGCAAGACTCACTCACTCACATTAACTTCAAAGATAACATTACCATTGGACAACTGAACATTCGCTCTTAAGTACATCTTTAATCAGTTTGAAACATAAATTTGTCCAATAAAAGAAACAAAATACCTATTCTAAATATCCATTCTTAATATCACACAACTCAAACAAAAATTCAACCGTCTCAAAATTCAAAAGAGACCATGTCTACACTATATACACAGAATAACGGATCTTCCCAAAATAATTTTCTAGTTCAATCCAATCACTTTTCAATCTCCGACTCCTGTAAGGAAAACAAAGCTAAAAGGGTGAGCTTACGCCCGTGAGGTTTCCATGCAAGTAACATTTAATAATCACATGAATCAATACAATTAAGCAAGTAGTGCACATTTCACTGTACAATCACTTTCATTAGTAATTGAGGAAACACTTCACTGAACAATCACTTTTAAAAGGATACGGTGCTCGTATTAGAACCACTTCAATGCACTACACATTCCGCCGAATTCTTCCTTATAACCTCCAAAACAATAAACACTTCCCTCGCTTGGATGGCCATATCAATATAAGTAATCTGCTACTCCGTGGTAATACTCGAGTATACCGAAACACTTACCCAAAGCTACCGTCCTACCCGACCAAATCCTTTACTGGCTCGAATAGTCCGTTGAACAGAGGGTTTTGGGGCCCAGTTCATCCAGTGTGATAAAGTACACATATGGCTTACAGTCATGCACACTTACAATATCACTTGATCAATTATCAACCTTCAAACTCAAATTAAGTCGAATGCGATAAAGTACACTCTCGACTTAGAAGGCGAGGGACAATTGAGATACATTTTGCAATAGATCACTTAGCAATAATTTCATAATACATACACTTGTCACATAATTTCACTCAAGTACACATAAACAATTAAACATATAAATTCGGAAACACTCACTAATTATCCAAATAATTTACTCTCGAGTCTCGGATTTGTTTCCTAGCTCAGCTATTTCATGGGATAAGTTAATAATTTCAGGGTAAATATATAATCTACATTATTATTTAAACTATTAAAATCAAGTTTGACGTTGAAATACAAATATATTCTCTATTTACTGTTTATCCTACATTTTATTTTGAAACTTATTAATTTTAGCATTTAAACCAAGAATTATACATATGTTCTATAGTTATAATCTTATAGGTATTTACATTAACTGCAACCTATTTTCCACTCAAAATCCTAAGATGCAAGCTTAGAAACACTCCATTGGTTCTCATTTTAACAAGCCAAGGTCTAAGTTGTGTGCACTTTAAATTTTATTTCACTACACTAGCTTCTCAAATTTTATAATCTTCAAAATATTTGTGAAGACAATATTAAGTAATTAAAAACCAATTAAGTAATTAGGATCCATTTCATGTATACAGCCATAACAAATTACCTTAGAGTTCCTAAAACATCAAATAAGTCTTAACTCATTACCATTCAACCAATCCACGTAAATTCAGCAATATTACTTCAAGCTTTCTGGGTTAAACCCTTGACCACTCTCAATTCCTGAGGTAAAATACAACTACAATCATTCAGGTATTCTCAATGTGAATTCTAATAAGTTTATCTAGAGTTTTAGGATTCTCTAAACATAGTTCAACTAATCCAAGCAGTCTAATACTCTTAAAACTCTCATTTGATTCATACTTTTTAGATTAGGAATTTTATGTGCAGCCCCAAACATAAGTTCTAAAATTCTAAAGTGTAAGGAGAGAAGTTTTAAGCGTTAAAATCTCACCAATTTAAGGTTTAAATCACTAGAAACCAAGTTCCTTAGCTTATCAAACAAGATGTGAAATTCCAGCAATTCTTTCTTACATTTCTCTTCGAGATTTATCAAATTTATCAACTCAAACAAGGGACATATACATGTACTCCGAATTTAAGGTCTTGTGAGGTGTTTAAACTAAAGTTAAATTATTTTCAACCCAAATTTAAAGATTAAGGCTAGTGAACTTTTCATTTATTTCCTTTTTAAGCTAAACCAGATTCTAGTTTGCTTGTTGTTTAAATTTGCTCCAACTCACCAGCTTTTCAAGTGTTAAAAGTCAATAAAATGCACATGAAATAGGGATAAGATGGTATACAATATTTTACTCAAGATTGCAGCCAAGTATCATGAAATTTTCCTAAAATCACACTAGAGTTTCAGCCCCTCTTTCTCTCGGCCATTAAGCAAGTTTCCAGCAACATTACTGCAGAATTTTCAATAGAGCTTACGTCTTTTACTTGCCTAAAATACTATACACACAACACACATTCTGTCCAACGTGAAATGAATCAAATAACAGGTAATTCTAGCAAATTATTCCACCAAGAAGCCACAAATAGTTCTGTCCTCAACTAATTACAACCTTCAACAATTCGGCAGGTTAAATACAAAGTTGTCCTTCTCAATTTCTTTATTTTTCTCACTTCCAACTTAACATACAGAGAGTAATTATCAAGCCACAGAGTATCGTAAGCGACAATATAAAGGTCACATCCAAGGAATCAAAAGCATAGCTGAACTGGTCTTCCCTCTCGGCCAAATTGAAAGGAGATTCTTGCAGCAACCAGTTATACGACATGAAACTCTTCAAAAGTTTCTTCATTTATACACAAATCTTTCATACATGCTAAGGCTAAGGTATTATACAACAAATCACGTCTCAATGTAAAAGTTTGGAACCAGACAGAGTTCATGAGGAAATCTGGAATGATTCTTTTCCTTCTCTCGACTGAAGCTGGAAAAATTTCAGCAGCTATTTCTAAACATTTCCAGCGTAATCTTCCCGTTTTTTCATAAGTTTTTCCGGCTGAGCTTCTTATAAAACTTAAATTTAAACCTTTGGCATGCATTCCTAACATTATTCCCCAAAGAAACATGAATAACAGGCTGCAATTCCAGCTCCACTTTCTCGGCTATCACAAAGTTTTCTTGCAGCTCTTAATCAGAATTTTTTCCCCAGCCAAAACTCATTTTTCCTAGCTAAAACTTAACATGCAACAGTCATGATTAAAAGTAATGGAAGATTGAAGGGTGTTGCTGCAAATTTTACCTCCCTTTGCTCCCAAAATCTGAAATTGCAGACTGCGCCTTGGTTTTTGCTTTGGTTCCTCAAGATAAATGCACCAGTCTCTCTCATTTTCCTCCCTTGTATCCCTCTCTCTCGTTTGAGGCTGGTAGGTGATGAAACGCACAAGATTTCTCTCCCTATCGCGCACTTTTGCTCACGGTTTTGTGGTTGGAGGAGGAAGAAAGCTTCACACTCTGTTTCTCTCTTTTGCTCCTCACGGTTTCTGCTATCAAATGAAACAGCCGACTCCTATTTGTTTCCTCTCTTGGTTTTGCTCTCGGTTGAAGTCCAAAATGGTAGAGCATTTCCTTTCTCTCGGTCATTACTTAACTCAGCAAATGTTCTACCGCCCAAACAATATCACCGCTGTCTCCTTTCTCCCTTAGTCATCACTTCATTTAGCTAATGGATGGGCAGCTGTCATCATCACAGGTGTTATTCACCGCCCAAGATTAAAAGCCAAGTTCTCCTAAATTCTTCCTTCCACCGTTTAGCTTGGTAGGTAGCTAGCTTTTATTTGGGTCCAATTCTTCCAAATATTTTCCCTTTCTCGGTTATGGACTTGTGAATTTCTGAGAGTTGGTTTCGTAATTGCATGGTAGTTAGTCAGAAGTTCCATGGTTGTTTTGGTCTTTT